TAGCTTTCTCAAGTCAAGTTAATCCTTCACTGGTTTGTTAAATTAATCATATCTCTATGTAATTTTAAACAAACTAATGAGTATTAGATTCTATGGAAACCTCTAGCTTAAGAAGGGGGAGCTACTAACTCTCTTCTTTTTCTCCACTACCACATGTGAGCTAATTACCTCTTGGTCTCATAGTCTAGCACACGATTTATATTATTATTGGTCTAATTTACGCAATTCTTTTTCAAGTTCATGCATAAATCATTAAATTAATTGAAAGATGATCAGGCTTCCAATGCATTAAGTTCAATAATATAAACTCTTCATGCGAATAACTTTAATTAAAAATATAAAATCACAAAATCTATATTGAATTGATTAGGCTACATCATAGCCTTAATAAAATAAATCAGTTCATAATAAAAAGAATAAACTATGAAATCAAAGTTATGAACATTCAAATATCAAACAATAAATAAAAACCCAAGGAAAAACAAAACTCAATTTGAGGAAATCGAACTCCTTGATCTTCTATTGTTGATGGAACCTCAATCTTGATCTCCAATAATGCCCAAAAGAGGGCTGCCACAAACCTCCCAAAGCTCTCTTAATTCTGAATTTGGATGGATATTTATAGGATTTTAGAAACCCTAATTGAAATAGAAGTAGGACTTGAAATAGAAATAAGAAACTGAATTTTAGATGCTGATTGCGTGGTGCTGACACTTCGAATTACGTGTTGACACAAAATAAGAAATAGAATCTGATTCTGGACGTTTAGCGGATGGTGTTGACACCCCGATCATGTGTCGACACTACACCCGTGTCGGGTTTTTGGCTCATTTTGCAATTTCTTCAATGGTAAAATAGCAGATTTGGTTCCTAACTTCTGGATTCTGCACAAGTTAATCCTCAAGTCTCTGGTCTCTTCAATTTACTTCTAAAAAGTAGGATTTCTTCCAATTAAATCCTTTCCTACACAAAGAATGAAAACAATGTAAAATCAAACAAAATCCTATAAAACTCATCCAAATATCAATAAAATCAAAGTAAAAATTTCTTATTAATATATATATAAATTTAGCTCATCAGGCTTATTATAGGCATAGGCATCTACAAGTTGTTCAAGGATGCTAAGGGGGCAACTGGGTTTTTGATCTTATTTCTCTTTTATACTCCCTTTGAATTTATCTATTCAGAATAAGATTGTGCTACATCTTGTTTCTTTTCTATCAATTAAATAATTTAAAAATAAAAATTTAATTAGTCAATGAGCAATCGAAAGTAATTGCTTCTTTTAGGATGTGTATCTGACAGCCTTCGTGTTTAGAGGGTTTTCTAAGGGCACAAAAATAATCTTTTTTTATATTTTAACTCATACCATTGGTATCTCATATAACTTAAATTCAATATGAAATTAAGAATTTTGACTAAAGCCTTCGTGTTTAGAGGGTTTTCTAAGGACACAAAAGTAATCTTTTTTTATATTTTAACTCATACCATTGGTATCTCATATAACTTAAATTCAATATGAAATTAAGAATTCAAACTAAAGGGTTAAATTTTCAAGTCTCAAAATAATACATATATGATAAACATTGATATTAACTTTTGAATTTTCAAGTCTCAAAATAATACATATATGATAAACATTGATATTGACTTTTGAATCTTCTTCTTATGTAGGCTCTCGTTGAGGATCCTCAACTATTGTTTTAATGCCTCTTCATTTTCCCTTGAAATTTCATCTCTTTTTCTTTTGAAAAATGATTCAATTGTTTCTTTTCTTTTTTTTTTCCCGTTGATATAATGATCCTAACAAAAAGCAAATAAATAATAATAATAATAAACTAACATATATGATAAACAAAAAAAAAAAAAATTCTAATATAATTCATGGCATCCCTAATCATAAGTGCTAAATATACAATACATTGAAGATGATGCTAAAAGTATAGATTGTATTGTTGTTTTTATTTAAATTTTAAGTGTAATTGTCATTTGTCATCTTCAAGGTGTTTCTATACAATTCATCCACTAATAAGATATCATATCAAATTACTAATTTTTATTACTAGAATATATTCGTTAACAAGTATAAGACAAGTTTAAATTAAAATAAAAGAAACTTATAATTTGTGATCTCTTCCATTAATTCATGAAAAAGACTAAGAGAAAGAGAATATCTCTTACTCTGTGTTCCATTCCACTATCCACTGGTGATTGGTCCCTTCAATGGTAGCAGTAGCAAAGGCTGAGGCTGTAGTGTTTTTCTTTTTTTTTTTTTTTTTTTTTTTTAAAAAACTAAAAAGAGAGTGAACGAACTATTTTTAGTAGGCAAGATAAAAAAACAATTGTGATTTTACCGATTTAGTACCTTGATTTGATGGCTTGATTTCTTGAATTGTTTTTCTTTTTTAAGTTGAATGTTAAATGAAGACACAAAACCAATTGGCAACGGCATTCATATGGATGGCATAAAAAAAAAGGTTTTTTTTTTTAAAAAAATTAAAGTGTTAATTAATTTTTAACTGGTATTTGAAAACTAGATTACAATTGGACTTATGAACATAACCCACTATTTTAATGGGTAATTTTTTTTTTCATTTTATGTATTTTAATAATTAAAAATATAATATTTAAAATTTAATAGTTAAGATTAATCAATTAATATATTTATTTATTTCATATCAATTATAATTATAAAATTATAATTTTATATGATATTATAATTATAATAATATCATAAATTAAATTATAAAGTACAAACTGCAGGGAACTAATCAATGCCTGGGCTCCATAAAAAAAACAAAAAGTCTGGGCCAGAAAATCATTTGAGCCCAATTCTGGGAGTGTCGCGCAAACCCCCAAGCCCCGGAATGCAAATAGCCAACATTATAGATTATACATTAACATTATAGAGGATCACTATCTCAGCTCAGGTCCAAAGAGTATACACCCACAGCGCATAACCGGTCCACTCAAGTCCTACTGTAGTCTTAGATTGACTTAATATATGTTTGATATAGTTGGTGGAAAGTTTTTTAAGAATTCAAACACTTTGATTATAT